TACCACTAAATTGTTTTATAAACAGCGTGAAGTCCTCTATCGTTTGCAACTTGCCGACGTATTCATTACAACTTTAATGTGTAATTTAACATAAACGCTGCCTATTTTAACATGACATCTATCACAATTCGAGGTGCGCGTCAAAGAAGGAGAGAGAGAGGGAGCGAAATAGAGAAACGTATAGAAATATATGTACATATAATTCAATCATATGATACTTTCTGGTTTATGGATGATGCGTATGAAGCGACAGAAAATCTGTAACTTGCGTGACGTGAAAAATAGATTTTTTCTTGTTTCATACGCATTATACCTAATCAGAAAGTATCACGATTATATTTATATACATATATCTCTCTCCGTATATCTATTTCGCTCTCTCCCCCCCCCCATCAATCTCTCTCTCTCTCTCTCTCTCTCTCTCTCTCTCTCTCTCTCTCTCTTTTCACGCGCACACTAAATTGTGATAAATTTCATGTCGAATTAAGTAGTATTAATGTTAAACAACATGTTAAGTTGAAATGAATACGTCGGCAAGTTTGCAAATGATAAAGAGCTGCACGCTGTTTATAAAACAATTTAGAAGCATATAAATCGTGCATGAGCGTATTCTTGAATCGTTATCTCCTTAATAAATCTAGAGTTGAATTTGTAAATGTACAATGTTGTATATATGCAGGGTGTCCCACACGCAACACACGACACCATCATTTTCGCATTATTTTCCTATCGCCGAAAAAGTAACGTGATTATATTTTTCAGCGCGGTATCATATGTCGCGCCTCTCCTTCCTCGGCACTCGAAGCGTGCGGTTTACCGCTTCTCATGCGCCGCGATAAATAGTACCGCCCCGAAAAGTATTTGTCACTTTGCTTCTTCGGCAATAGGAAAATGACGCGAAAATGATGATAATGCCGCATGTCGCGTGTGGAACATTCTGCGTATATATACAACATTGTATTATTAGAGAGAACGACAAATATATACTTATGCACGCACGATTTATACCACTAAATTGTTTTATAAACAGCGTGAAGTCCTCTATCGTTTGCAACTTGCCGACGTATTCATTACAACTTTAATGTGTAATTTAACATAAACGCTGCCTATTTTAACATGACATCTATCACAATTCGAGGTGCGCGTCAAAGAAGGAGAGAGAGAGGGAGCGAAATAGAGAAACGTATAGAAATATATGTACATATAATTCAATCATATGATACTTTCTGGTTTATGGATGATGCGTATGAAGCGACAGAAAATCTGTAACTTGCGTGACGTGAAAAATAGATTTTTTCTTGTTTCATACGCATTATACCTAATCAGAAAGTATCACGATTATATTTATATACATATATCTCTCTCCGTATATCTATTTCGCTCTCTCCCCCCCCCATCAATCTCTCTCTCTCTCTCTCTCTCTCTCTCTCTCTCTCTCTTTTCACGCGCACACTAAATTGTGATAAATTTCATGTCGAATTAAGCAGTATTAATGTTAAACAACATGTTAAGTTGAAATGAATACGTCGGCAAGTTTGCAAATGATAAAGAGCTGCACGCTGTTTATAAAACAATTTAGAAGCATATAAATCGTGCATGAGCGTATTCTTGAATCGTTATCTCCTTAATAAATCTAGAGTTGAATTTGTAAATGTACAATGTTGTATATATGCAGGGTGTCCCACACGCAACACACGACACCATCATTTTCGCATTATTTTCCTATCGCCGAAAAAGTAACGTGATTATATTTTTCAGCGCGGTATCATATGTCGCGCCTCTCCTTCCTCGGCACTCGAAGCGTGCGGTTTACCGCTTCTCATGCGCCGCGATAAATAGTACCGCCCCGAAAAGTATTTGTCACTTTGCTTCTTCGGCAATAGGAAAATGACGCGAAAATGATGATAATGCCGCATGTCGCGTGTGGAACATTCTGCGTATATATACAACATTGTATTATTAGAGAGAACGACAAATATATACTTATGCACGCACGATTTATACCACTAAATTGTTTTATAAACAGCGTGAAGTCCTCTATCGTTTGCAACTTGCCGACGTATTCATTTCAACTTTAATGTGTAATTTAACATAAACGCTGCCTATTTTAACATGACATCTATCACAATTCGAGGTGCGCGTCAAAGAAGGAGAGAGAGAGGGAGCGAAATAGAGAAATGTATAGAAATATATGTACATATAATTCAATCATATGATTCTTTCTGGTTTATGGATGATGCGTATGAAGCGACAGAAAATCTGTAACTTGCGTGACGTGAAAAATAGATTTTTTCTTGTTTCATACGCATTATACCTAATCAGAAAGTATCACGATTATATTTATATACATATATCTCTCTCCGTATATCTATTTCGCTCTCTCCCCCCCCCATCAATCTCCTCTCTCCTCTCTCCTCTCTCTCTCTCCTCTCTCTTTTCACGCGCACACTAAATTGTGATAAATTTCATGTCGAATTAAGCAGTATTAATGTTAAACACATGTTAAGTTGAAATGAATACGTCGGCAAGTTTGCAAATGATAAAGAGCTGCACGCTGTTTATAAAACAATTTAGAAGCATATAAATCGTGCATGAGCGTATTCTTGAATCGTTATCTCCTTAATAAATCTAGAGTTGAATTTGTAAATGTACAATGTTGTATATATGCAGGGTGTCCCACACGCAACACACGACACCATCATTTTCGCATTATTTTCCTATCGCCGAAAAAGTAACGTGATTATATTTTTCAGCGCGGTATCATATGTCGCGCCTCTCCTTCCTCGGCACTCGAAGCGTGCGGTTTACCGCTTCTCATGCGCCGCGATAAATAGTACCGCCCCGAAAAGTATTTGTCACTTTGCTTCTTCGGCAATAGGAAAATGACGCGAAAATGATGATAATGCCGCATGTCGCGTGTGGAACATTCTGCGTATATATACAACATTGTATTATTAGAGAGAACGACAAATATATACTTATGCACGCACGATTTATACCACTAAATTGTTTTATAAACAGCGTGAAGTCCTCTATCGTTTGCAACTTGCCGACGTATTCATTTCAACTTTAATGTGTAATTTAACATAAACGCTGCCTATTTTACCATGACATCTATCACAATTCGAGGTGCGCGTCAAAGAAGGAGAGAGAGAGGGAGCGAAATAGAGAAATGTATAGAAATATATGTACATATAATTCAATCATATGATTCTTTCTGGTTTATGGATGATGCGTATGAAGCGACAGAAAATCTGTAACTTGCGTGACGTGAAAAATAGATTTTTTCTTGTTTCATACGCATTATACCTAATCAGAAAGTATCACGATTATATTTATATACATATATCTCTCTCCGTATATCTATTTCGCTCTTCCCCCCCCCATCAATCTCTCTCTCTCTTCTCTCTCTCTCTCTCTCTCTCTCTCTTTTCACGCGCACACTAAATTGTGATAAATTTCATGTCGAATTAAGCAGTATTAATGTTAAACCACATGTTAAGTTGAAATGAATACGTCGGCAAGTTTGCAAATGATAAAGAGCTGCACGCTGTTTATAAAACAATTTAGAAGCATATAAATCGTGCATGAGCGTATTCTTGAATCGTTATCTCCTTAATAAATCTAGAGTTGAATTTGTAAATGTACAATGTTGTATATATGCAGGGTGTCCCACACGCAACACACAACACCATCATTTTTGCATTATTTTCCTATCGCCGAAAAAGTAACGTGATTATATTTTTCAGCGCGGTATCATATGTCCCGCCTCTCCTCCCTCGGCGCTCGAAGCGTGCTGTCTACCGCTTCTCATGCGCCGCGATAAATGCCGAAAACTATGTGTACGTCTTTTTCTTAAAATATTATTTGTAAGAGTTTGCTGATTGAAGGTTCGCAAGCTTTTTGACAATCGAAACCCAGCGATGCAAATGTAGAGATGAGAAGAAGCCGTTGCGAATTCCGAAAAGATACCGAACGCAGTCATATACAAATCTGATTGATTTCGTAAGCAGCTTCTTGTCATCTCTACATTCGCACTGTCGGATTTCAACTATCAAAGTGTGTTTCCGAATATCCAGTAGACAAATTCTTTAGAAACAATATTTTGAGAAAAAGACGTACGTGATAGGTACTTTTCTATTATTTATATATCTTCTATGTCATTTTTACACTTTATTTCTCTAATTAATTTATATTTTATGCTCATAATATATTCACGATATAATTAATATCTTTATATAATTTGTTATGTTTTTACGTGAGTTCTGATAGCTGAGCTATATTATATATTAATGAGTATAATTCTCGAAGCTATGACTAGAATATAATATCAATTTATAATTTAATGCCTAATCCTTTTTACGTAAAGATGTAAACTCATATCACGTTATGTAAAAGTCTAGTTAAATAAGTGTTTTTTAGGTAAGAAATCAATTATATATGTGTGGTTAAAGTTTTAGTTATTGTTGTTCAATTTTGTGCGTGTGTTATTTGTTCTGATTTATTAATGTTCATAGTTTTACTTTGATTAAAGTTTCCTTTTATATAATAGACGAAATCAACTAATGCAAGACGAAAATGAAAGCAATTAAAACATTCGTAAGGTGCATAATTTTTTTGCTGTCTTTACAGTTTGGGTAGTCCGTCGTCGTCCGTAAATAAGAACAGACGTGTGACCGAACGTGTTTTCTAAACTCTGTTTTTGAGTGCCACTAAATATTTACCGAATTATCGAATTATTAGATTTGCTTTGTCAATGAAAAAGTAATGTGTAAATATGTAAAGGAAGAAATAATATGTGTAAATATGTATATACAATAATGAAACTGACATACTATCCTATCTCTGATTGTTGAGGTTATGGCTTGAGGTTAGTTGGTGATGACATATCTTGTATTATGAGTATACATAAACTTAGGTGCATTTGTATTAATGTATAAAGTAATGTGAAAGTCGTATATATAATATAGTATACATTTTTATTTTTCAGAATAAATTTTTTTAGAAAGCTGTATTGTACATAAAGTATATAAACAAGGATGACCTCATATATTTCATTATTTGCTGTCGACAAAGATAAATACTGATCTCCGAGGACCTGTGTTTTAATGCATAAATTTTACCGACAATGCAACGCAAGTCAGTCAATAACTTTGCATGATACAACATTAAGGAAACATGTAGCAACACACTGCATTCAATTTGATCTGAATGTTACTGATGTTTCGGATATTGCCATATTTATGAGTTATGTTGATGAAAATACATGGAGATATTTAGAACCATAGCAAGCTGAGATATATTGTAAATGTTTCCATTATTTAGAAACTGTGTCACAAGGAAATGCATAGATTATGGATAATAAATATGCATCGGACAATGACTCTGAAATAGAAAATAACTTATTCAATTTGGTAACAATAATACTGATGAATCAAGTAATATTATATTTGCTTAAATCATTATGTAAGACATAGAACTTATAACATTAATATTTACATGATTTACATTTTTAATTGGTTTTATGTTGGCTTGATGCTTATGTAATTTATACTTAAGTATTCTTCTTGTATATCATTATGATATAATAATGATGTAATAATAATGAAACATTAATAGCATTATGATATGATGATATTTTAATTTCATGAATGTTTTAATAACTATAGTTTATTGTAGATGTTTCATTGTGTGAGATACCAAAGCATTTCAAAAATTTGACAAGCAAACGTATGAATAAGGTAACCGGAAATGGTAAACGGAAATGTAGTAGTAAGTAATTTTCCTTATCTATTTTCAATCCATAATTGTACAAATTACGACTGTACAAAATTCAGTTTATTTTATTATTATGTTAATATTCGTTCTTAAAAATGATTTCGTTTAAATATTTTCAATATAACTCTTAACATTTCATATTAGATTAATGCCTGCAAGTACCTAATTACTTTTTTCTTTCTTTTTTTATCACCGAAATATATAACTTAGTTCTGTTTACATAACCTATAACTTTTTTCTAATATTTATTCTAAAAATATTTATAATTACTATTCAAAATAAAAAAAATAAGTAAAATAAAAAAGCATCATTATTTAAATAATTTATTATCATTAAATATGGAATATAAGAATGTTTGATCATAGCAATCAACATTATTTTTATGTCAAAGTTGAGAACCAATAATATAATTATTTCGTGCTTGTTAAATTATTTCAATAATATTCTCTATGCTCGTTTAGAATCTTCTTATGGAAAAACGAAAAAGATACAATGGACAGAAGATGAGAAAAAAGCAGCACTTTCTGCATTTGCACAACATATGGGAAATCATACACTGTCGTCTCTAAAAAAGATCTAAGAAATAAAGAAAAAATATATTTCTTTGGCTCGTACATTGCCGCAAATCAATACGTGGTAGAATAAAAAAACCCTGCAACAACAATAGTGTAAGAGTTTGCAATTTCATACAGAACATTTTATTAATCCTTGTAAAAAATTCTGTTTTTTTAAAGACAATATAAAACGTTTTCATATTACTTTAGTCTTAAATTTTTTAATTAAAATGTATATAATTTAATATTTTAATATATAACTCTTTAAATATAATTTTATATGTACATACACAGTATAACTCTTATTCATTATCTTCCCTATTTTGCTTTTTTACCTTTGTAGTAATATATGTATGTTGAGATATGCTAATATATATTATTGTTGTGTGTATTAGTTTGCCAATGCCATAGATGCTCATAAGTAAATCTTATTCTATTTTTTGGTTTTAGTTTAATTGCCTCATTCTAGTAGGACCTTGTGAAGGCGTTCAACTCAAGATTAACGTTGCACACACCTAGATCATCAGATACACTGAATATCTTCAATAGAATCAGAGAACCTGAATACTGCTGTGCTTAGCAATGAGAAGTGGATATAATGTTTGACGGAACAGATTCAGTACAAAATGAAATTTATAAAGTGATATGTTCCCGAAGATGTATCTTATTAAACATCTCATAGGTTTCCATATATATGAAGCGACAGAAAATTTATAATTCACGTAATTACATTTTACAGATTTTCTGTCACTTCATACGCATCATGTGTGAATCAAAAAGTACCACATAGTTAAGTTAAATATACGTATCTCTCCGTTTCTCTTTCTCAATCTCTCTCATTTACCAGCATTTGATGTAACATCGGTCATTTCCTTATTACAACCTTTGTTTGGCACAGATTCATTATTGTTTCTATCGTTTCCATCTACAGATATGTGAGATTTACCTGTATTTAATGAAACATCAATTTTTTTAGTGTTATACTCCTTGTTTAGTATCACAGACTCATTGCCTTTGTTTTTATCAATAAGTTTTATAGAATTAATATCCGTGAGAGTAAAAATACATGAATATCGCATACATATGATAAAATATAAGTATTACAAATATTATCGATATGAGTTAAACTTACCACAAAATTTTGGGAAATCAGTTCTTTTGCATGATATGATGTGGTAATATGATGTGATTTATTTGTTATAATATTTTTTGTAATATCTTGCAATATATCTTTATTATCTATAATATTAAAGAAATGTCTGTTAATGAAATAAGAAATTGAGAATATATTTTAATGAAATAAGAATATATTTTAATGTATTCTCAATTTCTTATTTCATTTGTAGATGTATTTCTACGTCTATAATTTTATTATATTGTGAACGCATCGTTATTGTTTATTATTTATTCTTAGGTTTATATATATATATATATATATTTGTAATGTAATATAAATGTTAATTACATGCAATAATAATAATATGAAATATTGATATGAAACATATATTCAACTTACCATTTTTCGCTAAAATAGTTGCTGGGTAGCTTTGTTTATCACTATATATAGCATTTGTAATATTTTTTAAGTCGTAATTTGATTAAATTTGCACACATAATAAATATCATCATAGAACTTTGCTAATCTGTACATATTTAAATTTTAGTACTATCATATAATATGTATTTAGTAGTAGAATAAATATTATATTTTAATACTTCAATCTTGTTCACATATTCTTTATCTATATAGAATTTTTATGAAAAAACATTCAGAAAAACCAAAAAAAAATATATATATATTATTATCATATATTACATATCATTATCAAATGCTACATGAATATAACCTGTACAACCAAAGTTATTGAGTTTTATACATAAGGTTTCAGTGTAATTACTGTTATTTACATATTTTTTCCTTCATGTATTTACTACGAAATACATACAGCGTGTGTCAAAAGTTCCGGGACGGCTGGATAATTTGAAAAATACGCATCGCAGAGTAAAATGACCTAGACAAAAGTTGAAGGATTTTTCCCGGGCAATCCGACGGTGACCTTAGATTTGACCTTGGATAGTCATTTGAAGGTCACATAAAGATTACCTTTAATTTCTTAAATGGAACCCCCTATTTTTCATTGCATATTCTTGTAGCTTATCTCGAGAGCTTTCCAAAACACTATAATTAAGTACCTTTTTATTAAGTACTTTTTGAGTTATAAGGCTTGAAATAATTTCTTAATTTTACATAAACCATAAAATATCTAGTAAACCATTCATTTTTCGATTATCTTACCTTCATACTTTTATGTACAAAATAATGAGAGGAATCAATTGGTGTAAAGAAAACACATAGTTGTTTCTAAGAAAAAATATGTAATTTGCAATTAACAATTCCATATTTTTTCTTAAAAACAACTGTATGTTTTCATTACACCAATTGATTCCTCTCTTTATTTTGTACATAAAAGTATGAAGGTAAGATAATCGAAAAATTAATGGTTTACTAGATATTTTATGGTTTATGTAAAATTAAGAAATTATTTCAAGCCTTATAACTCAAAAAGTACTTAATAAAAAGGTACTTAATTATAGTGTTTTGGAAAGCTCTCGAGATAAGCTACAAGAATATGCAATGAAAAATAGGGGGTTCCATTTAAGAAATTGAAGGTAATCTTTATGTGACCTTCAAATGACTATCCAAAGTCAAATCTAAGGTCACCGTCGGATTGCCCGGGAAAAATCCTACAACTTTTGTCTAGGTCATTTTCCTCTGTGATGCGTATTTTTCAAATTATCCAGCCGTCCCGGAACTTTTGATACACGCTGTATATGAGATTTCCATATAAAATCTGTTATACTTAATCACATATTGTTCTGTCCCCTCCCGCATCATCTTAAGAAAACATTGCAATAATTAAATGATTATAATAGTTAAGGTGATGCCGGAATGACATTTATTTTATCAGGTTTTATCAACCGAAAAGTGAGGTTAGATTCGACTAAAAATCTATAAACTAATACAGATTGTTTTATTATTTGAAATATAGATAACGCGAGATATAGTCGAATCTAACCTCACTTTCTCGATCGATAAAACATTTGGTCAGCATCCCCTTAATGTGGCAAAAGGATTTATCAATCTGTATAGTCAATCAAAATTTATTTAAAAATAAGAAGTTATAATTATTAATTATATAAGTCATTTTATTTTATTTAAGTTATTTTTAATGAAAAAGAAATAATTTTATTATATGTCGAATATTATATTTTCAATTCTTTGATAATTTCTTTTACTGTTGTCAAAATCGCCAAAAAATAAATATAGTGTCGTCAAAGTATACAGTGTCGTCAAATTTATCAATTCTCCGTTTCGGGTTAGTTTGACGACGTCGCCAAAGTATACGATTGATCGGTAAAATTTTGACGACCGTCGTCAAAATAGCCAAAAGTCGTCGAAATAGACAAGTGTTACGAAAAATTGTCGTCAAAGTATACGATTGACATATATATATATATATATATATATATTTATATTTATTTCCTTTCGTATGCTTTACGATTCGATTTTCGAGCCGCGTCGTCATTTACATATCACTAATATGACCACTAATGAAGATTTTTCGGGTAAATAAATATAAGAAAGTTTTTTTTGGTTTAAAATTTTTAATGTTAATTTATTTAATAACTATATATTATCATCATTTCTCTGTCATTAGGTGCTTTCCTTTTACATCAAAACTCAAATAAATATCACTTCTGTTTTTCTTCAACATTAATGTTAAAGAAAGACAGAAGTGAGATTTATCTGAGTTTTGATATAAATGGAAAGCACCTATTATTATGAAAGAACTGTAGAATGACTTACCATATGATCACTGGTAAGTCGTGCATATAGTTCTTATTCCTACCGCACTCTCAACCTATGTCGCCACCGTCAACTCAGAGTTTCACGGTGAGTACTCCGGAGCCTTAATTAACACACACACATATTTATTATTAATTGTAAATTATCATGCAATTTATATAAAATTTTTTTCTATAATAGGAGGAGAAAAAGAAGAGAAGGATAAGAAAATTTGAATCTTTTATTATGTTTACAACTATATTTTATTTTGTTCACAATAAGCAATATCTATTCATTATCAGAATCAGAAACATCAGAATTACATATGTTGGGATGATATTTATCATAGAAACACGCAAAACATAATGTTTCTGTGCAATGAGTACATTGGATAAAACCTGTATTACAAAGAAAACAAGTTTTGTCAGGTAGCAGTCGTATCGTATCGTCGCCAAGGGGAAAACGAAACTTGTGACGGCAAGATTAAAAATTATTTTAAGAATAGAATATAATTTTAAATATATGTATTACATAACAAATAAATTTTAGTTTATAACGTAAATTTACAATGCAATTGCAATTAATGTTAAATATGTGTGTGTGTTAATTAAATTGTAATTTTAAATTTTGTAAAATTGTTTGGTACATTAATTTTTAGAATTAAATATTAAAAATAAAACATATACAATATAATACAATAAAAAAAAATTATAAAAGTAAGATTCGAACCAGCAACATGCAACATTCTAGTCCGACGCCTTACTCACTATACCATGCCGCTGCTAATCAAAGAACACTAACCGTTCGGTACATTACCAACATAGAAATCTTTGAACGCGTTTTTCTCGCGAATGCTTGAGAGGCGCGTATTCTTTTACCACGATTTAGTGAGAGGGCTGAACTAATATATATAAAATTCAGCCAAATCGGAGGGGGCCAATTCTGGTGTTCTCCTTGTAAGTAGGTAAACAAAAAAATTTAGAGAAAATATTAACTTACTTATAAAAAACGTTAAAGGCTGCAACAAGAAATGTTGCCAACAATTCAGAAACCGTGGCCGATGATGAATCTATCGACGAGAGTAACAATGAAAATGTGAACAATAATGTGGCTAATAACGCAGCTGCTGAGACTAGTGTTAATAGCAACGTAATTGAGAACATGACACGCAACGAGTGAGGAAATATAACAAGTAGTAATATTTACGATTATTCTATTTTTTTTGTGAACCTGATAGTTCATAAAAAATAACAAGTACAAAAATTATATTCATTCTTCGTATGGATATTGTAATATCGTTAATTTATTAGAAATATATTTATTTTAGAAACAATGCATGATAAGTAAATACAATTTTATTTAAATATGTTTTTACAGAACAATTAATTTTATTATGATGTAAAACTGTCGTGCGTTTACATGCAAATATTATATTTATGTACACAATTACTTAATTTTTTAAATCATATCAATAGATTTATTTTCATTTTGTATTTTTGTTTCACATATCTTTATTTGTAAAATGCTTTAGCAAAATAATATTTTTTTTGAGAACAGAATTATTTTTTTTTGTTTTTTAACAATAATTAACAATATTCATTTATTATGTCAAGTGTTTGTTTTTTAAATTTGATGTACTTTTCCATTTTTGAAAAATGTAATTGTTATGTTTTTATTAAATATAAGAAGATTTAAAAATTTCTTAAAGAAATATATAAAAAACGTTAATGTGCATTGTAAACAAAGAATATTATGTAACTGATATATGTGCAATATATAATGTTTTTTCCAATATTAATATATTTGTTTATGTTTTAATTAATTATCAGATTTAATATTACCTTTTCAGGAGGATCTCACTTGTATATTTTACAATTTTATATTATTTCGACTGTATCTCATCTGTGCGAACATAACTTTTTTGTGCATTACCTGTGTATTTCCTTCACAGTACGTTGTTCATTTTTTAATATCCGATTGATGTATACAATATATAATGAAGACGACGTACAATTGGCGCAAATGGGAATTATCTATAGATCAGATGAATACGTGGGACAATATGCAGTTGAAGAATGTACATGAGAGAGCCTTATTTCCTGTTTTTTTCTATAACGTATTGACATCTTTATAGAATTCGAATATGTATCTTATTAGTGTCTTCATACATTCTGAATAGTCCTTCAGATAAACATTTTTATATAAAAATGTATATATATATATATATATATATATATATATGTATATTCCTATAGTA